GCCATTGTAATTATAACATGTCTTGGTGAGGGTCTTTTCGGGTTTATCTTGTTTGGGACTCTGTGGTTGTGTGACTTTTTTCTTCCCCAAATCAGGGAAATTTTCTGTCATTATTTCTTCAAATAGGTTTTCTAATCCTTGCTCCTCTTCTTGTCATTCTGGCACCCCTATTATACATATGTTGCTTCATTTCATGTTGTCCCAAAGCTCCCTCAGGTTCTCCTTCTGTCTTTTGATTTTTTTCTCCAATTGCAGTTCAGATTGGGTGTGTTTTGCATCCCTTTCTTCTAATTCGCTAATTTGGTCCTATGCTTCTCCTAGTCTACTGTTGAAAGCTTCCATAGTGTTTTTTTATCGTAGCTATTATCACTCTATATTTCTTCTTGATTCTTACATAGGTTGTTGATTTTCTCATCCATCTGGTTTATGAACTCTATGACCCTTATTCTGAATTCTTCTTCTGACATATTGCATTGTCACTTTCATTTAGTTCCTTTGGTGATTCCTCTTTTCTTCCCTTTGGGGGTTGTTCTCCTGTCTCCCCATTTTTGCTCTCACTGAAGGATCTAGGAGTCAAATCGCACAGGGCTTGTGATTGCAGCGGAGGTCCTGGTGGCGGGTCACATGGTCACAAGTGGCAGCTGCTCCTCTCGTGGTCATGGGATGAGGCCTGCTCCTCAGGCTGTCGTGGGTGGTGGCTGCTCCTCGAGGGGTTACGGGCAGCGGCTGCTTGCTCCGTGCATGTTCCCGGATGGTGGCTCTTTTCACATGGCTGCTGGCTTGGTGTGGTGCCCGGGGCTAAAGCATCTGGCTGGCAGGAGGGGAGCACGCTCCAGAACTCACAGTAGCCCTCAGCTGGGGAGGCTAAAGTCTGGGTGTTCGTGAGTTTGCAGCTGAGGCAGCAGTTCCCTGGCTGGTGTGGCTGTAGGTTCCTGGGTGGTATCTGAGGGCACCCTGGGTGGAGGTGAGGCTAGGCTCCCAGTCACCACATCTCTCCCCTTCAAGATGGCTCAGCTTCTGCGGCAGAGTTGGTGCTCCGGGAGAGATTACTGCACTAGCAGAGGCTGCCTGGCTAGGCGAGCCTGATCCGCCAGCCCCCAAAGGTCCTGCGAGATCTAGCTGTCCCTTCCTCAGACACACATATACACACACACCACATGTCCACACTCTTCCCTTTCGCACCCTCAGCCACTCACACTCTCCCCCTCACTGCCATCCTCCAGGCCACCATCTTGGAATCCCATAGCTAGTTATGATATTAATTGTTGACAACCATTATGGTTGATATTGAAATGATAAGCATTTTTTATGGTAATAAAAAGAACCAAAAACTTTAAGCAATTTGAGAAACAGGTCATATAGGTAGTAAATGGTGGACTGAAGATTTAAACCTTCCTGGTATTTTAAAAATTTTTATATTTTTATTGATTTCAGAAAGGAAGGGAGAGGGAGAGAGATAGAAATATCAATGATGAGAGAAGATCATTGCTCGGCTGCTTCCTGCACACCCCCTACTGGGGATTGAGTCCGCAACCTGGGCATGTGTCCTGACTGGGAATCGGACTGGCAGTCTTTTGATGCACAGAACCACACTCGACCAACTAAGCCACACCGGCCAGGGCATCTGCTATATATATCTTAATGTGGTTATGAACGGCAGTTGAGATAGTTGATATATAATTGTAGAGCAAAGGAGTCTTGTCTGTCCTGTCATTCTTTAAGCAAAATTTTACTGAGTGCACATCTTTTATACAAAGACTATGTTACCCTGGACATTTGTAACCTCACATAAATATAAATATTGCCCAATGAGGAGAATGTCACCTCTTCGCTGTTGCCCAAAAGCTTGTGAGGTTAAGCCATGACCAGAAATTACAGGGAGACAGATTTTGACTCAATATATTGAAGAACTTTCTAATTATTAGGCTGATTTGCAGTTGCTTCATAATTATTTTGCATCATCTGTAAGGGTTTGTATGTAGGCGATAACTGAATAACCTCTTGATAGTTGTCCCTTCAATTATATTTCTATATTCAGTCCTCCATAAAAATTTTTAACAAACCTCAATTTATATTGTTGTTATTACCTTTGTCTCTATGCTTTAATATCCCAGAAGTTGCAAAGGCATAAAATATTTTTCCTCTGCCATGTATCTTTAAGGCAGGGTTGAAAATAAGTTAGTCAGATGTAGGAGGAACCATTTTGGAAATCATTTAGACTAAGTAGTTTAATCTAAAAATATTTTGTTATATAGTGAATCTATAACATGAAATATATCTTTTTTTTAAATATATTTTATTGATTTTTTACAGAGAGGAAGGGAGAGAGATAGAGAGTTAGAAACATCGATGGGAGAGAAACATCGATCAGCCGCCTCCTGCACATCTCCCACTGGGGATGTGCCCGCAACCCAGGTACATGCCCTTGACCGGAATCGAACCTGGGACCTTTCAGTCTGCAGGCCGACGCTCTATCCCCTGAGCCAAACCGGTTTTGGCATGAAATATATCTTTAGCAGTGTACCTTCTTCATTCAGTGTATTTGTAGTGCGTTAGGTGCCTGGGTTTGAAGTCAGAAGTCGTTTTTAATTTTTTCTCACTATTTAATGGCTATTTGACATTGGGCAAGTTTTTTAAATTAGATTATAAGGGATTCATGCAGTGTGGAATCTAGACAGGAGGAATAGTGTAAACAAAGTTAGGTAGGAATAGGATGCTAGGAGTGTTATTAGTCTTTCCTATAGTACTGAAAGTGTAATCTGCTGACAGCAGCACTGGCAGCATATTGAAGCTTATTAAAAATGCAGAATCTCAGACTTTCACCCTAGACTTCTTGAATCAGAATCACCGATTTAACAAACTGAAGTTAAGATCAGAGCATTCATTTAGGACAGTCTGTTGTCAGTCTTGCCTGCTCATAAGAGCACTTGTAAAAAAAAATACTAATGTGGCACCACCTAGCTTCAATTCTGTAGAACCACAGCAAGTGGGGTCCGGGCGTTGGTATTTCTTTTTTTTTTTTTTTTTGAAAGTTTCAGAAGTACTTCCTATATGCATAGAAACACTGAAGCTACCCTTGCAGATAGCCTTTGGGGGAACACTAGATGAAGAGCTTTGGAATGAACAGTAATTTCTGATTTTTTTGTTTCCAAGCTTTTTTGCTTGATAATGTAGTATGTATCCACAAATGTTCCTTGAATATGGGATATGTGGAGAGCTTTCCTTTCCATCTTTCCTTGTTTGAAATAAAAACTGTTCTCATGTCTGTCCTCCTTTGTTTGAATATTTCTTTCTTCCATTTAAAAGTAGGAGAAAAAGAAATCACAAGCATTTTGATTACTCTGGATTAGAAGATAAATAAACCTTTCCTGAAGAGAAGCATTCTGTTGTGGAGTAGTGAGGCATAAGTTTGCAGAGATTGGGGTTGGTCTAGGCCAGTGGTCGGCAAACTGCGGCTCGAGAGCCACATGCGGCTCTTTGGCCCCTTGAGTGTGGCTCTTCCACAAAATACCACGTGTGGGCGCGCATGTACAGTGCGATTGAAACTTCGTGGCCCATGCGCAGAAGTCGGTATTTTGTGGAAGGAAGAGCTAGGGTACAGATGTTTTGAAGAAATTATAGTATTTGAATATGAAAGCATACCTAGGTGACTAGGAAAATGGCAATGTTGGCAACAAAAAGTAGATAACTTTTATATCATCTCTAGAGGATGCCAGCAAGTGTTAGATGTTTTTACTCGGGTTTTTAAAATCCTACTTGCATTGTGATACCTCATTGTACTAATTTTATGGATTAGGAAACCAATTCTTAAAGAAGGTTATCTACCTAGCTTGCCCAAGTTCACAGACAACTGGTAACCTATACTATGACTATGACTGACACCAAAGGCCATTTTCCTTTCAGATTCCAATACATACTACATCATTAATCATTTTTGTTGTAATTTTGGAATCATTTTTACACGTTAGATTTTATATTCAGCATCTTTACAACCTCTTGTCACATTATTTCTTATTATCTCAGCTACTATTAAATGAAACTATTCTCTGAAAGATACTTGCTCTCTCCTTTCTCTATCAGTGATATTTCCTGTTTTCAACTCCTACCCAACCTTTAACATCTAGCTCATACTTGCCTTCTATACCCATATGGACCTTTTCTTTCTTTTTTTTTTCATATGAACCTTTTCATTACTCCCAGTGACCAGTGATTTTTTTCTCTTCTGAACTTTTATATTCCTGTATTTGCTGTTATGTAATTACTTTGTAATAAATATTATTTGAATTATTCCTGGATATGAAATGCTCATCAGTGAGTACAATAACATTGATATATTTGAAATAATAGATATAATATAAAAATATATAGTAATTGGTATGGGTAAGAAAATTACTGCTTAATTTATATATGAAGAAAAACAAAAATTACTGTGGATTTAAAGGACCTATCCAAATTGAGACATCATTTCCTTTTTGGAAATTCTTGGCTCCAAACAACATATGATTTAGTTTTTATTATCCTACTAGAGGCCGATGCATGAAATTCGTGCAAGAGTAGGCCTTTGCAGCTGTGGGTGGCTGTCTAGATCCCTCCCTCGCAGCCATGGCAGCTGCAGCCCTAGCTTACTCTGGAAGGATATCCAGAAGGACATCTGGTCTAATTAGCATATTACACTTTTATTATTACAGATAGGTTTTATAGTAGTACAGCACAATGCAACATAAGCTAAATACTTAAGAACCTGAGTTTATTTCTCAGTTCCACTTCTTTCAAAGTGTGAGTTTGGGCAAATCACAACTTTTGATCCCTCATCTATAAAATAGGAATACTTTTCTTGTTACACTCACTTTTTAGCTTGTTATGAAAATCAGATTAGATAATACCAGTAAAAACTCTTTGTAATTTGCTAAATGTGTTTGATGGCAGTGTAATTATAATGTGTGTGTTTTTTTAAAAAAGATTGTATTCATTGCAACATCTTTCTTTTGTTTTTAATTCAGTTTTCCACAGGCTACAAATCAAACATTGCTAGATAAATTTAAGCATCAACATGAAGAGAATTCTTACATTGAATTTCCAGCTGTGATGGAGCCTGCTTTCACCATAAAGCATTATGCCGGGAAAGTAAAATATGGGGTAAAGGTCAGTAAATTTCATATTGCATATGCCTTTAGGGTAGAGATGTATTCTTAACTCTACACCACACTACCCTCTTTGTAGGTGTGGAGGCTCTTCATCAGTAACAATTAGTGACATTATTATAAGGATACTACTAAAATTTAGATTCCACCTTGTAATATATTACTGTCTTAGGTGATGTTTCTGTTGATTTTTTCTACATATAAACCTGATATTAGTCCATTCTAATAGCCTTTTTAGATCTGAAAGAATAGATAGTATCAGTATGTCTTAAATGTACTAGTTGATCTTCATAGTTTGTTGAATTATTCTCTTCTCTACATCCATGAGGCCTGACTGAGGCTTCATGTCTTTATGCACCATTAGGAATTTGTGAGCTTGTACTACTAATGAATTTATTAAAACTCTTTAACTCCTATGGAAGGAAATATTCATAATTTTGTTCAGTTCTTTTTTTGTAATTAATGCATTAAGCGCCCAGCCTGTTTTGTCTACCAGACAGGAAGTATAGTGTCAGTCACCGGTGACTGGGCGCTTAACGTATTAATGAGCTATTATCTTTCAAATATTTGATGTTTGAGCCTGCCATTTAAGACAATTTCCCAGGCAAGACAGTGATGATATGGAGACTAGTGGAGCAATATATTTTCTCTTGGATCTTGAGGTAAGAGTCAGAATTAAGATCACTTATTCAGGAAGTGTTTATTAAACACATAGCATGTCAGACCCTGGGCTTGGTATTTGGAATGATACAGTAATAAAGTAAAATAGACAAATATGTTCCTGGCTCTCTATATACATACTAGTGGCCGGTGCACGAAATTTGTGCACGGGGAGTACGGTGTCCCTCAGCCCGGCCTGCACCATCTCCAATCTGGGACCCCTTGGCGGCAGTAGGACACTCCTTTCACAATCCGGGACCGTTGGCTCCTAACCGCTCACCTGCCTGCCTGCCTGCCTGATCTCCCCTAACCACTCTGCCTGCCGGCCTGATTGCCCCCAACTGCCCCCCACTGCTGGCCTGCTCG